GAATAGACCCGGCAAGACTACTTGGGCCTGGAAAGCCTCTTCCAAACCAGGCCAACTACTTGCCACTCCATTTTCCAACCATGTTCGATCATGCTTCCCACGCTGCTACTCTGCATTTTGCTGTCCTGTTCCCTTTCCAACACTTTTCAATCCACCTGCCACTCCACTACATTCCGCTCCAGAGCCTTCACTCCACTCTCCACTCCACCCTCGAGTGCACTTTTCAGTCCTCTCCACCTTCCACACCCAACTCTCAAGTCCACTCCTTCCACCATCCCTCCACTTTACTTTCCACTCTCCACTCCATTCTTCTCTCCACTCTCTACCCCACTCTTTGCTCAACTTTTCACTCTCCTTTCCAGTCGACTTTCCACCTCACTCTCCGCTCAACTCTCTTTCTCCACACTACAATGTAATTTCCACTCTCCACACTCCACTTTCCACCCACTTTCCACTTCTCTTTACGCCCTCAATTCCACTCCACTCCATTCTATTCCGCAATGGCGGCCCCGACTTGGCTTGTCCCTGCAAAGGGTCCGAAAGCCAGGAAAGTCACTAGCATGGCGAACCCAACAGTCCCCATCCCGACCACAGCGACACAGTTAACGAGACTGGCGGCCCCGAGCGGCCCCATCCCTGCGACTGCTCACACTTTGGACATGCGACGAAAACCCGACTTCCATTCACTAGCGACGACGGTTACAAGGATGGCGACCCGCAAACGCTTGCAGACGCTTGCGAATGCTTGCGGACGCTTTGCGGATCCTTGCAGACAGAGGCAACGAGTTTGGTCAAATCCTGGACCGCTGAAACCCAACACTGAAAACGGGAACTCTTCAGTGCTCGGGTTTGCATGCAACAAACAAGTATGATGTGACTCATAGCAAGACCACACAATTGTGGGAAAGGAGGTTCGATGCAAGCACCAAGCATGATGTTACCCGCACCAGGACCACAAGAGGCTACAGATAGATATGGGAATTTTGATGCAACCACAGAGCATGATGCTAGTCATACAACTACCACGCAAAGCAAGTGAACATCAGAAAAAGAGGAGGGAGGCCAGGGAGGCCAGATCTCCCGACCTTCTCTTCCTCCCTCCGCTTGCGTCATTTGGGATATCCAGCGCAAGTTCCACGCTCCCGGCTGCTCGATCTGAGCTGGGAAAGGTGCCACCCGATCCTCCATGTACCGGCCCCGCCAAGCCGGGCAGCTTGGGTTGGATTTAAATTTGGGCACTTAGGGCAATGCCTGCAACTGAAATACTTGTCGGGTCGTGATCACTACAGAAGAGGCAGGGAGGTCCGGTACGCGACCAGCGTGGTTTGTTTCTATGGTGACTTTGCTAGGGTTGTGAACACTGAAAGGGAGCAGGGAGGCTTGATCACGCCACCAGCATCATTTCATTCGCATAAACTATGACTTTGCTTGTTCTCACGCTACAGAGCAAGTACGGAGGTTTGACGCAACCACCAAGGCTAATGCCACTCATAACATGACCATCAATGGCAGTATACGCGACTGGGGGAGTAGGGTGAGATGCGATCATCCGAAACGACGTGAGTAGCAATTTGATGCAACAGCCAAGCATGATGATCTTCCTCTCATGCCTGTGCAAGGGCATGGAACACCACGGAAAGAATATGGGGCTTGATGAACAACCAAGCATAAGAATATGACACTACTAAAAAGTACACAAAGCATGGGGAAGGTTCAATTCAAGCCACCAAGCATGATGTTGCTGGTACCGCGGTCCAACAAACGTAATGAGCGGAGTCAGCGCAAGATGCGCAAGCAAGTCAAGCAACCCATGATGGAACGTATGATTTCATGAGCACATCCCATCACATAGTCATTCTTGGCTACTCCGAAAGGATTCTGCATTACGGATGCAGTCGAGAGGTTTGTTACAACCACCAAGCAAAGGCGATTTGATTCATAATTTTACGATGGTCAGAAACACTACGGAGGACTAGGGCGGTTTGCTGCAACCACCCAGAACACCATGGAAGGAAGAAGGAGCCTTGATGCAAGCACCAGCATGACACTGTTCGTATCAAGACCTGACAAGACAGTGAACACAACAAACAAAGGAAGGAGGTTCCATGCAAACACCAGGCAGAATGTTCTGCGTGCCATAACCATGCAGGGGTCGTGGACACGACTGGGGCTTGATGCAACCAGAAAGCATGATTTTGCTCGTACGGCGACCAATACGCACAAGGCCAGCGAAAACTACAGAACGGAGAGGGAGGCCTTTTAACAACCGGGCATCATGATTTTGGTACCATGCAAAAGTGGTATGCCCCACTTAACGAGTGGGGACAGTGGGGAGACTTGATGAACCACAGTCAGTACTTCAAAGAATAGACAGGTTGCATGGATCAACCAAGCAAAAATGTTTCTCATAGCATGACCACACAAGCCTAGCAAACACTACCGAGAGGGAGGGAGGATCGATACAACCACCTAGCATGATAATCCTACCAGCTCCGGCACTATGAACACGCAAGGGTACACGAGCAGTCGGGAGATTTGATGCAACAGCCAAGCACGATGTTACTCGTGTAATTACCTACCGAACATGATCCCGGATAATATCACATTCGACCGCCCCCAAAACCTTCCAGTGAAAGAATCACCTTCGACCCGCCCTATATTCAGTAGCTTCCTTTGGAAGGATCACATTCGACTCCCCTCATGCTGTGATTTATCATGTGATTCGCCAACCTTGAGCGCTACAGGCAATCCTCGCATGGTTCCGAGTCCCAAACGTATATTTGGGGGCCAGACAGCCAGATCGAATCAACCCTCTCCACGTCTCCACTAAGTAGACTTCTCAAGTCCGCAGCCAATTTTGTCACACAGTTCTTACTCCCTCTGCAGAACAATGTTCGAATGAACCTCTGCTTCGCAACATGTACGATCCACGAGACTAGATAGAATAGCGTATCTATCATCTTTCACCCCACGCATGCATATAGGCAGATGTCCACCAGAAGACGCAGGACTCCTAGAGTCCACTTAGCATTATTAGCCACTACAGAGGCCTATCTCAGATTTCTCCGCGCGCCTACGAGCAAACATCCAGAAGTGGCTAACACTCTTTCCCTTGTAGCAGGAACCCGTACTCTGTGGACACGCCCGCTTTTTCCTGGATAGTCTTGCTTCATAGTCCTAAAAAGGGCGATTGACGAGTAGTTTGGATTTGAACGAGAGTGGGGGTGTAGTGCTCTCTGATCATGGAAAAGTATCGCAAACAATTAGGACCCATCTTTCCTATTTTGTCCTAGAAACTGGCCCGGGCTGGGATGTTTTCGGTGGCCGTAGAGGGCCCAGGATTTAGTGAGTGGTGCTAATGTTTCGGCTTGTACGATTAAGGGCCAGGAGCTCAACGATTTAGCCAAGCACGGGAAGCTTTTAGGCTTTCAGCTGCAAACATTTTTACGATAGATAGTTGCTTGGTGCTTCCCCGGAAAACTGAGCTGGGATGCTTTAGGGGTGTACCCCCTGTTTGCCAATCGGTCCTTTTTTTCCGGGACAAAGAACTTGTCCCTATTTGTCGGTGCATCCACAGCCCCAACCCCAAAACCCTGCCCCCCGTGCCATGCCAGCAACTTTCATGCTGCATGTTGTCTGGCCACTGGCAGCGAACCGCAGCTGCTCGTTGCACCATCACCCAGTTCTAGCCACAAACGTGAAGTTAAGCGTCCCTTTCCAACTGTTGCGGTGTGGGACGATAATCTGTCAACGCTCCGACAAGCTCGCATGCGGCTCAGCAGCTGGAAAGAAACGGACGGTGGCACAATAAAGTCTTGAATCAATCAGAAATTGCTTGCACAGCGACAGGAAAATGTGGGATGGGAGGTTGTACTTGTGTTGGTCCCTCTTGGGGTACCCTAAATATTGGGGGCCGGATTTGTGGGGGGACCAAGAAGCGACCAACTGACAACCTCCCACGATGTGGAAAAGCAACTCCAATCCCTGCCTTGAAACACTTGTCATGTAAGCTTGCTTCTTTTGTTGCAGCTCCTGCTACCACGTGAGTAGAGAAACTCATGAAGAAATATCGCCCTGGCAAGGGCGGCAGCACACTGTCCTGCTTGAGTCGGGTAACCTCATTCAACTTCTGCACATCGCATGCACGGACCTGCCGTCATGTCTACAAGACCGAGAATTGGGACCAAGAAGTCCCCTGCCTCCCCCTTCTTGTTGAAGCCAACGGAGAAGACCACGGTGTCCCCGATTTTCGCCCCCTGTCTATCTCAACCCTGAGCCGTCCAAGCATTACCGCCATCTACAAACACAAGTTGGATTGTTGGAAGCATTCCGCATGGGCATCACAAACATGTTGCGTAGCAGCATGTACCATCAACCACATGCCTGGGAGCATGCTTCGATGAGTTTCGACTTTCGAATGCCCAAGGTGGCTCAGGTTTGGAGCTGCACCTTCTGGCCTGGTAGGACTCCCGGTCGATGAAGATGTCGCGGCCAAATCGCTTAAAGGTTTCCGAGCAAGACACAAAGCCATAGCCCTTCATCGTGTCAAATTTGGAGATGAAGCCAACATAGTGGTGCGACCTTGCAGCGCTTCTTGAAACACAGGCTCTGTGCCGTAAACGCATATTTTGAACACATTCATTTTTTGGCTCACACCAGCCTTTTGGCCATTTCACCTTCAGCTGAGCCTGCTCAGCAATTTGCTGTACTGGATGCACCGATCGAGAAATTGAGAGCTGTCGGAGCGGGCTTGACGTGAAAAGCTGGTGCCTAAAACTGCACCTCATCCGAACATCGTCTGCACCATATGGTGAATATAGTGCGACTACAGCACTTTAGATTCTGTATGTCCCGACCACACGCGAAGCTTTTACCTGCCAGACAAAGTCTCAACCTCCAGCAGCCTTTCCAAATCTCCAGACCAGAAGATACAGCATGAAACCAGCGCTGTGCCGTGAAGGCTTTTGCAGGGCGGAGGCACACGCAAATCAGGATTCCTAAGGCCCCGTTAGAATCGGGCATTTCTGCAAAATTTGGAACGTATGGTATGGCTATGGAATGAAATGCTGAGTTCAAGCGCCTGACATGAGTTCATTGCCTGCTGCACCTGCCTACGCCATCGCAGCTGAAATCCTTCTGCCTTGCCCGCCTCCCCCTTTAGAAAACTGGAATGACAGGTTTCGCGGCCCCTCTTTGCAAGGCTGTGCAAGGCTGCCAGCCTGTGCCGGCCAAGCGAGCCAAGCGACTGTGCGGCCGCGCGCTTCACCTTGTCCTCCGCTTCTCTTACTCGCTCTTCCAAGGAATTCAGCTCCGCCAGGGCTTTGCCAGCATCAACCGTGCTACCTTGAGCGTTGCTCCGCCAGATAGTTTGACAGCTGATCCAGCAAACCCCGAAATTCTGCAGCCAGAGCACTTTGGAAGCCAGGAACGCTGCTGGAAAAAGAAGAAGCCGATGGCGCTGACCTGTGAAGATGCAACTCTTTCCATTTGCTGCTTTGCCAGCGCAATGGGATGTTACATATTACAAGGAACGGCTGTTGTTCTGTTGCCTACAAAACCTTAACTCCACGGATTGTGAGGTTGAAGACTTGAAGTTCAGCGAGGTCTCTACAATGGGCTTTATGCTGGCCTAAGCTTCCAGCGACAGATGTTGGACACCGAACCTGTACTTTCATGAGGATGGCCGCTTGACACGCCGGTGGGCTGGGCATGTGAAAAAAAGATTCCCAAAGCCCCACGAAGTTCGTCCCAGGCTGCATCGCTCCATCATATCCGTTGACAAGCATCTGCTGATACCTGCTCAGCACTTGGCTGCGAGTGCAGAGACTACACTCCCAGCCGCAAAGTCAACGAACACAGCTTGAGACAAGTTCGGATTACCCCGTCCGCACCAGGAAACCGCAGTTACAGGGGCAAGTGTCAATGTCCACAGAAATATTGATTCAGAAAAGATGCTGCTTCATGTAAAGCATCTGTTGTTGAAGTGATAAGCCGGAGGCGTGTAAGGATGCATCCTGAAACAAAGCAAGGCGACAATGTACCATCGACATTGTCGAAGAGGATAGATTTGGTCAGTCCTCCGCAAAAGTGCCTGCAGCCTGCTGAAACGTTGCAATTGTCATGTTACTGTGCTGTGTAGCCTTTGCAAATGAGGCATGCGCTTGCGCCTGGGCCGCAGATGCTGGAAGTGCAGCACTTGCAGCGGGCCCCTTGTCAAAAAAATGAACTTGACAGCCCCTCAGCTCTGGCCACAACAAGCCTGAACGCTGCCATGACCATCTCCCAGTGCTGCACCCACAGACACCTGACATGCTGGCACTGGGTCAGCACTCAAATTTCGGGAGGCAGAGATCATGGCATTTCTTATTATGCATCTGCTAAGTCCTATCAGTCAGACCTACAATTCGAGGCGCAGTTGGGAAAACATATATCTTAAAGGGGACATAATGGCAGCAGAACTCGTCAATTTCAAACGGATACACAACTGCGACCAAGAAAATCCCACTCGCAACACACCGCCCGCTGCTGAGCCTGTGAAGGCTGTGAAGGCCGTGAAGGCTGCGAAGCAGCCAAGCCGCCCAAAGCTGCCAGATGCGGCGCCTGAGATCTTCCCCCCGAACTGTTTCACTTTTAGGGGATTATGGGGTGCATGCTGTGAGAGTGGACGGCGCAGCAGAACCTGCGACAGTTGTGGCGCCCGCTTGCGGCACCTAGAGAAGTCCCCAAACATGATCGACTCAGGCACCGCTGAAACTAGGAAAGCTGAAGCTCCGGCAATCGTGCTCTGCGAACCAAGAAAGGTAAGGCCAGCACAGCTCTTGGAACCGCATCATTAGGATAAGCGATATCTACGCGTGTTTGCTCCTGGCCGGCTAAATGCTCAGGCCAGCAGGCCGCCAACGGTTCTTGTCGAGTTTGCCTTGTCCGCCGCATCGATCGCGGGAGGTCCGCCTACAAGAGCTCTGTCAACATGTGAAGTGAAGAAATCGTCGCCATTGGCCCCACACCTGCCTTGCTTGCCTTGCTTGCCTTGCCCTTGCCTCACCCCACACGTCCCCCTTGCCCCACTAGCCCCCCCATGAATCAATTACCCAAATGGAGGAGATCTAGCTTGCTACTGGCTTTGGAGCGTACAAAACATGAGCAGCAGCGCGCTTTCATCTACATAGCCTTTGCCTTCAAGCGTACGCTCTCACAAGGTGAAACCAGAGTATGAATCAAACACGACAGAAATGTACATATATATATATACATATACATATACATATACATATACGTGTAGACATGTATGTAGGCATGGTACCCCCTGGTTCACACCAAGTCTAAATTTAAGTGTTGGCTGCATCTTCCAGAAGCTTTACTGGCAATGTGCGGACATTAGATTCTGATTGCTGCAATTCGTTATCGCATGAATGACACATCTTTTAGAATTCGAGTATGAACGGCCCAACAGTGCTGAGACTTCATGGATCTTAACAAATGCACAGCGACTCCTGGATTCCTAGCTTTGAAGCTGGTTCCAGTCTACATGAAAAGTTGTTTAACTCAACTACAACTGATACAGAAATGCTGGAATCATGGATTCCTGATTTTCAAGCTGGCTCCCGGCCCCTTTAAAAACTTTGGTAAATCTCAGCTTTGGCTCATGATTGTCAAGCAGGCTCCAGTCCACAAATTCCTGATGAAGTTTAATTGAAGCTGATGAGGAAACTGGAATCCTGGACTTCTGATTTCCAGGAGGCTATAATATAATTCAAAAAGTTAATCAAAACTGATGCGGCCAGCCTGGAGTTCCGGATTATGTAAATTCGATAATCAATGCTTTTCCGGCTAGCTTCGGTTCACATAAATCCTATTCTCGTTAATCAAATCTGATACGGAAATCCTGAAGTCCTAGATCCTGGTTTTTGATCTGACAAGTTTTTTGGGACAGTACAGCACTTTTGCTGTCAGTATGTAAGACATCCTCAACAAAGGAGGAAATCAGCTTCAGCACAAAGGTCCTGAGCAAAGGCACGAGATCACGCATTTCGTTGAGGGGGCCACTGATATTGATTCAGTTCCTACATGTTAGCGTGTCTGCAATTTCTGGTGTCCAAACATCTTGCAACAGCTTCCAGACGTTGAGCTGCCATTTCCACTTATTGAGTGCTTTCCGCATCTTCCCATCTCCAAGGACAATGCAGCAGTTTGCACATGTTCGGTTGCTTGTGTCGGATGTCCTAGGGACATTACAACAGCTTCAGCATGTCTGACTGCTGTGTACTTTTTCAAGGAACATACAGCGCCTAGCGCGGGTGAAGTTTGGAGTTGAAAAGAGCTAGCGACCACAGCGCTTGCAGCTTAGCTTCCAACCTGGAAGGACTGCTGTGTACAGTTCCAACGTCTGAGGACGCCGGAAAGCCCGCCCAGCTTGGGATCACATTACCCACAATTGTTTCATTGTTGCTCATGGTGTCCTAAATTTGAGTAACTGCTACCCCCGAAACCCGGGGCAATTGTGTGTGCGACATCCTGAGCGAAGGACGCAGCCCACAGACACTTCAGTAGGGACCATGCGGTCATCATGCAAAAGCACATAAACGAAGCTATGCGTGATGGTGGAAGCTGGGTCTGATCAGACCAGGGTACCTGCAGTTGAGCGATTGCACCTTCATCTTCTCTATGCTTCTCGAAGAGCAGCTGGGGACTGTGTCTCGCTCTAGAATTCTACATGCACTGCCCGCTCATGTGGCAAATCTTCTCTTTGCTATGCTGCTATGCAATCGCGTTGTTAATGCAGTAGTACCCTGTAACTATCACATTCCAATAGTCACAGGAGTGAAGCGCAAAACAAATAAAAAGATGACAGCTGCACGAAAAGGCAACCATTAAGGATGGAAGCTGCTGATTGCATGATTAAGATGCACACGCACATGATCGCACTGGAACTCGAGAGATACAAGAGAGAAACCTGATAACCTGAGGGTCATCTAGGGTGTGTCTCGCAGGGCGGCGGCGGCGGGCGATGCGGCAGCATGAAAACAAGAACCCAAGTTGCCTGCCTGTCCAGTGTGCAGGACTGGAAGCTGGAGTCGCAGAAGTCGCGGATGGAATGGCCGGTGCCAGTCCGTCTAAGCTGACCTCCTGGACACATTCTGCTCATGCCATTGCAAACCGCTCAATCTTTTCCGACTACCAAGCTTGAGCCTACAATGCCCAATAACAGCTGGCCCAGCTTTTTATTGGCTGCCACAATTTGACACATTTCTTGGAAAGAAGCATCACCACGACTGCACGGTTCTTCGACACAGAGCGAAGTTGCTCTTGGAAGCAAACCTTCTGCTTCTCTTATTCCCGGCAAACTCAGCGCCCATCATGTTTTGCTCTGACTCTGGTTGCAAGTGCGTAAGCCCATGATGTTTGCTTGTTCATGCGCCTGCTTCGAAATCGTCGCTGAAAGCGTATGACCTTGCTTTTGTTGCGCAAAGCATCGCTGCAGCTCCAAAAACGTCGTGACGCCAGCCCTGGTTAGCTCTGCATCCTAGGCAACATTGGCATTGCAAAAATCCAGAGTCTGGACAAAGACGGTTTAGGGTTCACAGCATTTCGAGCCCAATCCGAGCATCGCAGGCTTGCATATTCATTCGAACAGAGCTGAGCGCCTTCGAAAAATGGATTTGGTGCGTGGTGTCATGCCGCCACTTAGGTGTCACAACTTTCGCGCGGCGGTCGAGGACATGAGTGCTGGGACAGCTGATGTCCGTATCTCCTTCTGCAACTCATGATAACGTTGTTAGCCGCCTGGCAGAACCTCAGGCTGGTCCATCGCACAGCTTCATGGCAACGGGCAGCCTCTTGTGACAATGACCAATGCAACGACTACAAACAGTGCCGGCAGGCAGGAAGCAGCCCAGACTCAGTCAAGTCTCAGAGCCGGCAGTCTGTTTAGGGCAGTTGACAAATTGCAATGAAAGGCTCACATCGCGCAGCTGAGGCTGTTCGCAAGTAACATGGAAGGAAAACTCGTTCGGAATGGTGTCAAGACGCGAGTTCGAAATGGTAGCACGTGAAAAGCGCACAGCTCTTTCTATTCTGTGGGCACACTTCATGATGATCGTGATGACTCTGCTGAACTTGGTGCAGCCACCAAGTTGGCAGGTCTTAAGTTTCTTCCGTATATTTCCGTATGTAAATGATGCTGTACTCGAAGAACATCTGCAGGAAACTTCGGACACCCTGGGAAGGAGCTGTTTACAATCGAAAGGAAAGTCATCTCCAGGACACATTGGCATTGCTTCTTGCTTTAGCCAGGCGGACACGCGGGCTACATATGATCATCTATTCATTGCCATTCATTGTCTGTATCAATATCTATCGCAGTTTGCATAGCTTTCCAGGAGATCTGCTGTGAAAGATCGCCTTCTCCTTCACCTTCAGCAGCGCAGCTCCGATCGCGTCATGAGCTGTCTTGGCCTGACAGCACGGAATGGCAAAGATTGGACGAGCCAGCGTACGTGCTTTTATCGTCCTTGCCTGAACTGTTTGAACCTTGGATTTGACGGCTGATAGCTTCTGCTTCAGCCTGTCAAGTCCAACCTTGGGAACATCACAAGGCCCAGTCCGCAGACAAGCCTCACAAGCCTCACGTGTCCCTTGAAACCCCACTGATCGTATCGTTCAATCATTCAACACTTTCGGGTCCAGTTGCGGATTCACGGGACTCGCCAGCAACATGTCTCTCCTCGCACTTCGCCGTAATTCGATGTTTGCGAGGCATTGCAAAATGAATCAACGATCCTCTGCTAGCTTGATCTGTCTCTCCAGAAGCTGTACCTGTCAAAGACGGTCAGCTCTTTCTTGAATTTCAGCATTTGCCCCACGTCCCAAAGGCCTCCAGCACATCTAGTGCATCCATTGCGCATGCTAATGTCAAGCCACTTCCATAGCTGGCATGTGCAAGATTGCCAGGCTGCCTTTGAAGAAAGCTGACTGGGCTAGGATACAGGTCACGGGCAGATCTGGCTTGCTCGGGGTATACGAAGACACATAGCATCACACAGTCAAACTTTGTTGAACCAGATCCAGCCGACTAAATCTACAGAACAAAACCTCGCCATATGAGAAGTCTACGCGCTAATTCGCTGGAATGCTGCTTGAAAGCCAAGAAGTCGAAGCTCCGAAAACGTTGTCGATGATTTGCTTCCCAGTCGCAATGTGCTGGTAAATTATGGTACAATGATACGGGCCACCAGATACTAAAACTTGATCACCTTTCTTTGCCTCACACAGGCAAGGTAGACGAAGCTTCTCGCCATTGCGAAAGCTGTACAGCTCGCGGCCTAGCATACGGCTTGCCTCTTGGTTCCATTTTGCACTGCCTTCTTCTTGCTTCTCAAAGCGGATTCAAAAGACAGCCGAATTCTCACAAAGCGGAGCAGTCTTCGCTTTGTAGAGCGTTAGCATGTGTCTTAAGAGCTAACAGGTTTTGTCTAAGAATCCACACCTGGCATTGTCACAGTCTGAGGGCCAGTTGAAGGTCAGCGGAAGTGACACAGCGACTGCTTTCTTCACAGTCTTGTCTGGTCCTTGCTCCTTCTAGGAAACCCAATGCCAATCCTGAGCATTGGGGCAAGAAGCAACATCATGGAGATTGCCGCATTCACTATTCGCGAACAGGGGATGTCTCTACGAGTGATACGTATTATAATGAGAACTCACAGAAGGTAACAGCGCTAGACTAAGTGAAGGACATTCCTCGTGCAATGCACAATTTGTGTTTTCAATCTTCCATATGCCAGCCCCGTATCAGAGAACTTTCTTTGCAAGACGTTCAGCTTCATCTAACTAGTAGCTTGAAAGACCCTGTTTGAGAGCAGGCTCCTTGCTTGTTGAAGCCTGCAGAACACGAAGGGTCGAACCATTCCAAGGAATTTTGAAAACCAAAGAGGCCTTACACAATGAGGGGGAGAGCAACGGTCAAGAAACTCCTGAACATTTTCTTCAAAAAGTCACGTAAAAGCATGACGAAGGCAGACCTAAAAGCAGGATGCATCACGACATCCACTTTTTGCACAATGGCCTGTTGCGGTGCTTGTTTTGCCTGGTAGCATGGTTCGAATCCGTCCCGCGACCTATCAGCGCCAAAGGCACCTGCATGGCCGGTCTCACGTGATTCCATGGAAAAGCCCGAAACGCAAGCTGGATTGCCGATGGTGGAAGGAGCGAAACTCCGCGGAGCCCTGACATAGCAAGACAGCCACTCGATTTTCAAACAAAACCAGAGAGAATAGGCGGCACTGAAAGCTAGCAATTCGGGGTGAAAGCTTCAAAGCCCAAGCGCGTCTGTGCATGTGGAAATCTTGTTTCACATACGCACCAGCTACAGTAATGGAATGGCAGCGCTGTGCCGAAGCAGCAGTATGTTCATCAGAATGACAATCATGTGTAACTTCTTGGTCTTCTCGAGTTGAGCATGGAGAAGACATTAATCTGCTTGTCCTGACCGGAGGGATGCAGAGGTTCGGCACCATGTTGGATGAAGTGGTGAGGAGAAACTTCTTGAAAATGAGTGGTTCGAACATCTCCACAGCACCAATGCTGGGCATTGCATCAACATGCTGACATTGCATTTTGGTGAGAAACAATGCACTCCAGGGTTTTGGTGAGAGATAATGTACTCAATCCAGCCAGCAATGCAGGCCTGACAGAATCAACATGCATAAAATAAAAGCTGTTCTACATTCCTCCTCCCGAAAACCTACGTTTCCGCTGCGCGTTTCGCGGAGCTTTCGCGGCGTTTCGTGGTGTCGCGCACGCCAAGCAATACTATGTTTTGCATTGTTGTGTCATGTTGTGGTCTTCGTCTATATGATTCATATACTCGGCCTGCTTCATAAGAACATATGTCATGGGTTTGGGGGCTTTGTGCGTACAAAAAACATAGCAAAAGCAACATCGTAAGGCTCATTCCAGCAATTCAAGGAAACCGTTCACCGAACCTTTATGGCCACATGCTCTCCAAGTTGTCTGCATCCCTGGCATGGCCCATCAATTGTCTCACCACATAGTTCGCGCGAAGGCCTCCAACTGCTGTCGCGAACGCGAGCACCAAGAAGTGACCAGGCCAACGCACGTTTGACCCATCTGATGGATGGTACACAGCTCGCATGGCAAGCCAACATCCAACAAAATCTAAAATAATTTTCTGACCAACTTTGCAAACACAACCGCTGCTGGAAATGGCGCTCACGCTCATTCCGGAAGTGATGATTCTCGCGGGGTCCCGAATTATTGGTGATTGTTTGGTTTGTTTGGGGATCCTTTTTATCCTTTTGGTGGGCAAACGTGAGGAGGCTCCACGCAAGAGCTTGATTTTGACTACAAATGTGAGGTTAGATTTTCAAAGTGTCAACAGTCACAGGGATTGTGGAGGGCGGGCCGGGCGGGTTCGCCATCCCGGTAACTGTCGCTCGCTTTTGCACCCTCTGATCCTCGTATGTTGTTTCAGTACGGGCAGCGCAATGTGCAGCCTTCTGGCTCACGCAAAGGCATCAGTTTGTAAATTACAGCGCGAGAACCTCATCTAGTGCTTGCAAATAATCACTGCAAACTGTAGCATTTGGAGCGCATCTATAGCTTGTAGACAAAATTACAACGGTTGAAGCTCTGTCTGCAAATGACAGCGTTTTGATTTTTTAGAACGTCCGCGAAAAATGCTGCGTTCCATCCGGGGCTGGAATCGCCTTGCGAACGAAAGCCATGCAAACTCCGTGCGGTGTATGAATTCTTGTGTTACTGCAACGTTTCAGCCACGCCCCACTTCTGTTTGGTCCGATTTGTGTCAAATTCAGCAAGACAACGCAAATCAAGGCAACACTGATTCAATTTGGTTTGACGACTGGTTCTGCTCCAACACATCACTCAAGCCTGAATGCATTAGCTCCCGTTTTCAGCAACATGGTAAAATATGGTAAACAAGATATGCCGCCCAACAGGGCCATGCAACCAGTCCGCAAAATTTGTCACACAAATCCAACCAACACGTCCGTAAGTCCCCAATTGCATCACATGCGTCGGATCGGGAATCTTGCACCACCCTTATGCTAATAAACAACACCAGCAACCAATAATCATAACAATCACAACAGTTGTAACAGAGTGAGCATTACTACTGATCATGTTTTTACAGATAGTAATACGCAACAAACGAGTAATTATTGAATGAAAGTAATCATGAAGCAAGGTAATGATAATAGTTAACAGATTTACGATTCTCAGTTTTCAGACAACTCATACACGACAGTATTTGTCATAATGGCTGTTGCCATGTTGATGTTGTCTATGTTTTGCAATGATCACTTGTTACCAATATTATCGAATCAGTAATACGATGATCAATCTTCTCACTTTCGATACTGATGAAAGCAGTAATAAGTACTAACATTGAAGTGTGTGTATATATATATATATCAATTACCACAGATCAGCCCCGCTAGCTGATGCGCGCTGGGCCGAACTCCTTCAGCTGCGCGCTTGTTTTAGCACAGCTGACTGACATGCGATCTCATCATGCGATCAATCGATCAATCATATCGGCCTACACCTGAAGAGTCAGGGAGCCCGCGTATAGGGAGTGGAGGGTGGGACAAAAATGTATGCCCGATCGGATCATTAGCCAACATGGCCACGATCGGGCAACACATGTGAGCTCGCTCGGCCCCTGCGATGGCTGCAGCTGACCCACAAGTTCCTACCTACCACTCCGTCAATTTGTGGACCAGTTGCTAAAGATCACAACCGCTCGCTGATGCTCGCTGGGCAAACTCCCTCAGCTGAGCGCTTATTTTAACACAGCCGATTGACGTGGGATCTGGGTCATGCCATCGATCGATCAATCATCAATCTCATCACTGAACATGAGAGTTGATGAACTCTTTTCACAAGTCCAAGCATCGATCGATGCAACCTACACCTGAACAATCAAAGAACCCCGGGCCCTCAAACCCCTTGGGGAACTGAACAGCAAGAGACCGACAACCGCAACTCCGACCATAAGAGAGATCACCACGAGAGCTTCAGGACCATGGCGCTGGGATCTCACCATTTCGCCTGAACCCAATCTCTCAATCGGGCATTCGCTGTTGAACAGCAGCATCCAAGAGCGTCACCCGTGGGGAACGCCAAGTGATCTTCTTGGTAATCTCCAGCAGCGCTTGAAACTCTGGGGCAGATCTTCCCTTTCTTCACGCTGAGAGCCAAGGCCTCGGTGACCACATAGCGCATCCAGAGCAGACTACGAGCGTTCCCAGCGGGAGCCGGCAGAAAGCCCTTGCCCGAGATGATCTCAAACATGAAGAAATCTCAATCAGAAATTGAGCTGACAGGCCTTCCTTCCTCCACAGAGCCTCCACACAGGCACCTTCGAGAGGGAAGCGTTGGTGGCGGCGAACATGTGGTGCCTCTGCGCCGTCGCTCGACCTTTGTCTGCCAAACCAGTCCAAGCAAAGCTTCGTCAGTGAACTCCAAGAAGGTCGGAGCCACGCGCATGGCATCATCAAAACGGACGGAGGCGTAGATCATGATCAAGACTCACCACGAGAACAGCGCAGACAGAGCAAAGACCGAGCTGCCACGCGTCCCCATCTCCACGGCATAGATCTCGAGGGCCTGAACCAGGGAGACAGGTACGGCTTGGTCTCTTTGCCTCGCGCTTCGTAGACTTCTTTTGGTATCTGCGTCGAGTCGAGATCTGCACAATGAGCCCCAATCCGCGAGCTTGATGGGTTGCTTGGCGCACAGGATCACCGATGGCCTGCAGCCGCCAGTAGAGGCGGTAGAGGAACAAGAAGCGCAGGAGCACGTCCTCGGCAAGCGCCAGGTCAATCTCCAGACGCTCCCAACGGTGAACGCACATCC